TCCCCCAAAAAATTTTAAATTTTCCTAAAAAAATAGAAAAATTTCATTTTAATCCGATTTCATTTTAATCTGCCACATTGATTGCAGTACTTTAGAACTTATCTATCCGTTAATCTATTTTAGAGTTGGGGCACGAGGTGTGATTTCAAATCATCATGTGGGCACGAGGTCGTGATGCTAAATAATCACACTAATTACATGAGAACTTTCCGTACCCAACCAATTATCTTGGATATCTAATAGACAAATGGATAAATGATTTATGGATGAGAACATTAACTTTTGGATATCTTATAGACAAATGAATAATGATTTATGGATGAGAACATAATTATCTATTAGATTTCGGTATCTAATATACTTGCTGGTAAAACCCAGACAAATTCCAAATTTCAACAAACAATTGCTACGTATTTATAAAGATTAAATCAAACAAGTAATCTTAATATTTTGCAAATACAGTATCCGATTTGCCATCATTCGACTTGTGATGGGGAACACTATTTTAGAGTAGGGTCACTTACTAAAAAGAGATCCTACAGCGAATCTCTATAATATCGATAAAGGTTTGTAGAAATATGTGGATAACCGTGATATGGGCATTTACGATATTCTCGGATTTTCAGAGCTTTAAAGACCAGCTCTAATCGGATCCTTAATTTTTTATTAATAATAATTTCCAAATTTCCTACATGGATACATGAATTGTTTTCCACACCTTTTTGAAAACAGTTATAAAATAGTCAAAGGAACATTAATATAAGAATCTATTATAAAAATGATGGAAAAAAAAAATGTAATGATTTCTATACAAATAAGCTATTATATCCATTTTCTTGACCTTTCAAACTCTAAAATAAATTACTACTTAGTTGCAGTTGTCGCATTTATTGGCTATTTTTTATACAAATGTTATATTCATTCTTTATATTTGTCACCATTACGTAAAATTCCTGGTCTTCCTGTTGATAATTTTATTCGTCTCTTTTTTAAACAAAGGGATAGGTGAAGCCTTTTTACTTAGTAAAACACTAGGTGAGATAGTTCGGTTTATGACTTATTGAACAAACCCAGTCTTTTCCGATCTAAATCTTATTCAACAAATATTAGTAACTTGTTCATATGATTTTCCAAAGTTTTCCCCCAAAATACTGTAATAAAGGATCTTATTGGTGAAGGCATCTTACTTGCTGTAAGAGATTTTCATAAACGACAAAGAAAAATGATGAATTCTTCATCGCTTTTACCAATATCAAGGTATTCTTTATTTCTATTGATCTGTCAAAAAAAAAAAAAATTAATCATTATTATATTTTAACTATTTGATTTTCTTAAATTTAAGAAAATGGTTCCAACATTCGTTCAAGCCAAGATGTTTGGATGATGCAAATTGGTAATAAGAAAGAAAAAAGAATAACCATTACTGAATTAATTCCAAAGATAACTTTAGATGTTATTGGTCTTATCAGTATGCATTAGTCTGCATTCATTTTTTAAGATTTTATCAATGACGTCTCTAACCGAAATCATAATCATAAGCATATTATTTTAATTACGACTACTTCAGAATCCGAATTGGCTCAAGCATATCATTTCATGATTGATCATTTTTTTCTGTCTTTATACACTGCCCTTGAAAAACCTTTTCCATTCATCAAAAAACTTCCAACTCTCTATAATAACCGATATTATAATTCTGCTAAAATTATCAAAAATATTTTCGAAAAACTTGCTGAAAAAAAAAAACACCTATTCGAGGAAAAAATTTATTATCTCTATTGGTGAAATCAAATGAAAGTTCGCCTGCCGATGAACAATTAACACAATGAATTAGTTAGTTAGTCAGGTAAAAATTTATATATAATTTATATTTTATTAAGTTTTATTTAATTATAAATTTATTAAATTTTCAATTCTATGTCATTTCTCTTTTCTGGACATGACGCAACTAGTTCTGTACTAATTTGGGCATTATACTTGCTAAAAATCCTGACACTCAAGATCATCTTCGTAAAGAAATACTTGATGTATTTACTGATCGTAATCATCTTCCAAACTTTTGATGAAATTGAATATTTAAAATATTTAGAATGTGTCTTTAAAGAAACTTTAAGAATGACTCCACCTGGTATAGTCCAATATCTTTTTATATTTAAATTTATTTGATTATTTATATTTCAGTTTATTTGATTTTATTTATCTCAGATTTATTTTATTTATTCAACTCTATTTTATTATATATTTTTTATTATTTCAAGCGTCTGTAATCGCTCGTCAATTTAAAAGATGAAATTATGAATGACTATAGTATTCCAAAGGTATCTTTCTAAGCAACTTTCATAGTTCAATTTATATGATATTAATATATGTACTTTATATTTTTTCTTTTAAAAAACTCAACTGTTAATTCCTATCTATGCAATCCATCATGATCCTTTAACTTGGAGTGCTGATGCAGAAGATTTTAACCCATCTCGATGACTTAACCCGGAAATAAACTCAAGAGTATCAAACAATAATTTCCTACCTTTTGGTGATGGGGATCTCTTGCAATATAGGTTATACCTATTCTAAATCAATTGATTAATAATACTTTTTATTAATAGTCTCACCTATACTGCAAGAGATCCGGTGATGGTTCGACAACTTGTTTAGGAATTGAATCTATTTTATCTATAATTATTAGAAATTTTGAGTTTAGATTAGTTGAAGGCTTTACTTTTAAAATGCTTTAACTAAACCTGTTCCTGGAATTGATTTATGGGTTTCAAAAGTGAATTACTGATTGTAATCGATTTGGCATTAGCCGGCCGACTAAGTCAGTCGATTTTTTAAAAAATCCGACTTAGTCAATTCTTTAGTTGTGTGAGGCAAAAATAAATCGATAATGATCTAAATGAGTATAATAGTAATTTATATGCGCAAAAATCCAATCTTAAGTTATTTTTTTTTATTAAGATATATCTATGGAGAGGTAGTTTTGATAGAAAACCAAGATGCATTATTTACTTTTGAACTCATGCTTGTAGCTTACGAGCTTCTTCTTGAAGAATTTGCCAACCGCCTAAAACTTATTTAATTAGTGGAAAGCTAATTGGCTTCGTCAACATTTTGCAAAAAAGCTTTAAAAATATTCAATCTAAGAACTTACAAAATGGTGCAACGATATTGTGGTAAAGCATCCAGAAAAGGTTTTTACTCTGAATACTTCATATAAATTCAAGAAAACGCTTTAGTATCTCTTATTAAGCGTGATGGAAGAAATAAAAATTTCTATCAAATAACGGTCGCACAAAGTCCAGTCATACCATAAGACCTGAAAACTGGACCCAAGAGACTTTCTAGCTTTAAAAACAAGATTACAAAATTGTTTGCTTCATATCCATTATTTTAAATATCTGGTGACAACATTATTGATCATTTAGATCCATATCAATCAATCATAGAAAGAAGTCATTGAAAAGATATAATGAAAAGGACTGTAAATCCTAATCGGCAATAATTCTTCTATCTTGGGTGATTTTAGAACCAAAATTAACATCGCGAATTATTAGCGAAAAGAAAGCTGATGCGTATTCAGTAACTAATTACCTCTTCATGGAACTGTATATGGCTTCACTGCTGCTACATTTTGGAATTTATGTAATAGACAAGAAAATACTATTGTGGTTATGAAAGTTAAAGATACTGATGAAATTCTTGGTGGATATAATCCTCTAGTATAGAGATATTAGTCAGGCTAAGTAAATTTTCAATTAATAAATAACGTAAAACACAGACAATGTTCTCAAATGACATTAAATTATCAAATAACCATTTTTTTCACTAGGATAACTGAAAATATTGTACAGTATATATATCAGTATATTATTAGTTAGCATAATAAACTTTATAACTAAATTAACTGAATTGATATTTGAACCTTCCAAGTTCAAATGACTTTTAAATGACTTTTAAATAACTCGAAAAATATGCAAATGACCCGGTCATTTGAACACTGGAAGACCTTTCATTATTCTTCTTATTACAGCTGATGTCTGGATCATCCCTGTGATTGTTTTGATGTCATATTGCCCACAAGGCAGCTTCATGATCTCACAGGGATAATATTGTTAACGCATAAAAGTAAATACAATTATTTTAATTGAAGCTAATTAAAAAATTGTATATTTTGTTGAATCTGTTCTAATATTCTAATAATTTTTTGAAGTAGCATCAACTATAAAAAACTTTGAACATTATGAAAACTACTCAATATTTAATAAAGACCAATATTTTATTGAATTTTAAAAAGTCATCTAGAAGCAGGAATAGAAAGCTGTATTTTAATAATAACAATAAAGTTTACGCTATTTGTACAGATTAAACCGAAATAAACATTCCGTAATTCTTAAGAATACTTCAGTATTTCTTACAAATATTGATTATATAAATTCAAATTTGCAATCCGAAATTATCACAACCTTTTCAGTAATTGTTCGTTCTCTCTGTCATCCTCATTATCTGATTCGCTGTCCTGGTAAAATAGAGGAACTTCGGTATCTGATGATGATGTCGAAAGAAGCTTGTGAGTTACTAACCCAATAATTGTGATAAAGACAGCACAACTAATAGTCGTAAACATCATGTTTTCAGAATTCGAGTTCCTACTTATTGATTTGCATTAACGTTAAGCGTTTTATTAAGATGCATTACAATTTATAAGTTTATATTACCTGCTTCGTAGCTTATAGATTATGGCTTGTCAGATGAAAGAGAATATTATTTATATCAAAGAAAAATGAATTTATATAACCGATTGAGTTTGAAGTCATATCACACATCATTATCAACTCGATTCTGTGATTTAAAGCAATAATCAATTATAAGAAATTTTCATTACAATTTAGTGGAAAAAACGTTAATAAATTCGCTAAAAGTATAAAGAATACAGATAGTGTTTTCGTTTAATATATATCTTTGATATAATAAATTTAGTACAAATCGTTTTAAATCACTCATTTGATTAAAAATAATACAGTATTTTCAAAACAAAAGTTTCTAATGTTTTTACATAAATATCAATTGTAATAAATGTTATAACTGAATTAAATGGATAAATCAGACAAATGTTATAACTTAATTAAATGGATAAATCAGACAAATGTTATATCTGAATTAAATGGATAAATCAGACTATTGTAAAATGGATGACGATTTATTTAATATACTGTCGTATAAAAGACCCAGGTATTGTAAGAAGAGTATTTAAGATTTTCATCACATATTCATCATGTTTTAAAGTACATGGATAATTTATAGAGAATGTTAATAATATTATAATATTTATTATGCAGAAACTTAAATCTCTTAATACACAGTAACTATATAGTAACTATATAACTATATAGTTATGATTAAATTTAATAATAACTTTATAGTTACTATATAGTTACTATACAGTTATTGCATATTAGAAGATTTAAGTTTCTGTAAAGTACTTATACATGTTAGCTTCTACATTAATAAACCCTTAATGTAATTAGTTAATATCTTACGAAACAAACTAGGTTAAAAATGTATCGTTAGAAAATCGGAAGAACGTTTTCTATCAGGGACATTCTAACTCGTCTACACCAAGTTAATCATTGAAAATGAAATTTGTAAACCTAATTATAAATTCAAAAAAAGTTTGAAATATTACAATCTACAATTTTGAATTATTTTGAGGAATTTTTCTGAAATCTTGCATCGCTTGAGACTGCCCTTCAATCTTCTTTAAATTTTCTAAAAATTCTTCAATGTATTTATGAAGCTGATTTGTTTGTTCTACCATCACCCAATGTCCTGCTTCTTCAATATGCTTATTATTTGTAAATTAATAAAATTATTAAATTCTTATATGGTATATTTAAAAACTTTCTTAGGTTATTAAAATAAATCTTTAAATAAAATACTTTTTTGGTCAAATTCTTGCAATACAAATGCATATCCTCGGCCATGTTGGGGGTAATATAAATATCTTTACCAGATGTAATCTAAAATAATTTTATATTTGTAATTATAGGATTAGTATATATAGTCAATGTATTTATATATATTTTGTGATAAACTTGCCATAAGAGCTTGATGATCTATATGCTTCCTGGCACCTAAAAAAAATAAATAAGAATTATACATCAATTTAATCAAAAATATTAATAAAAGATATTCATTAATCAGGCTTACCTTTCTCATCTTGAAAGTTGAATTTTCTAGTCTTATACCAATTCAAAGGTCCATGAAACCGGTGAACTTTGTATTGTGAGATGTAGTAATCCAATTCCTTATAAATTGATCATAATTTTAAAACATGATATCTGTTTTTTTTTGTTTTGTTTTTTTTTTTTGACAAGAGATAAAATACTGCAATGATATAGTCACCTTTTGTGTGATCAAAGGGCTTCGTTCTATACCTTCAAACGAAATTCCTGTCATAGATTTTCCATCATAAATTTTAAAAAGGTCATCTCGTTTTGAAGTACGATAAATGACTTTGAAAAATGATTCTAACTAATTTATCAATTTGTTTTTTTTTAAAAAAAAAATTGAAGTTAACGATTACAGAATTAATAGCTTCATTCGTATATAAAAATCAATAAATTTCACTAACATCATTGTCTAGCTCAATTTCAGCTTTTGGATGAGAAAGATAAACCTGATATTGCATATTTGGAAAAATTTCTGCCAAAGTTTCAACACTGATAAACGTATCATTAGGTGGAAAGTAAGGAGTGCAAATACTGCATCATAATTTTTAGTTAGTATAAGATAAAATTCTGGATTAGTAATTGAATCAGCATGCATTTACCTAATTACGGCACGAACTCGTTCTGGGTGATGAATACACATTCGCCAAGCTAATGCGCCGCCCCTTTATATTTGATAAATTTCTTGATTGCATCATCCAAATAATAATAATTTAAACAGAATAGTAACCCATATATATTTATATATATATATTTACCAATCATGACCCATAAAAATTGCCTTTTGAATTTTCAATTGATCCATTATCTCTCTAAGATCCTTGCAAACATTCTTATAACCGTATTGATGAAGACTGTTAGGTGGGCATCGAGGTGATTCCTAATAAGTTATTTGAGACGTCAATTCCATTAAATATAAGAAACATTAAATTGCTGAATTTTAATATGAATACATACTGTTTGACCATATCCTCGAAGGTCAGGTGCGATTACCCTAAAACCCTTGGATACTAGGAAAGGAATTTGATAACGCCAGCCATACCATCTAAAATTATATTAAAATTGTGCCAAGAATAATTTTTTTTTTTTGGTATCATTCATACTTACAAGTCTGGAAACCCATGACATAATATTATAGCGTCGTTTCTTTCTTCACCTTCGTCTACATAATCTTTTTTTTTTTTTTTTTTTTTTTTTTTTTTTTTGCCATTGAACAAATAAATATAGGAATTTAATTTTTATAAAAGAAATGATATAATAAAATTTTATGAAATTGACATAAAAATCTTACGATAAGTGATTCCATTAACAAAAGAAAATTTATGGCGAAAGGAATTCGGATATTGCGGGTCCATGCGACTTGTTTTCATTTCGATACATATCCAAAAAGGGGTGCATTACTATTAACTGCTTTCGTGTAAATTTATAGTGAGAAGCCCCGAATATTTCCGAGATTCCGAGATGATCGTTCAATCAATCGTGTAACACAATGTGTATTTTTATGTAACAGATAATTTTCAAGTTTTTTAAATTCTTACATACCTTTCAATATGCCGAGCACAGAGTTAACAAATTATAATTTTCATGCCGAATATAACTCTTCAACTAGTGCGGATGAACTTTTCGTTAAGCATAGTATTCCCGAGCTACGTGCTCTTGAAAAAAGAACAAGGTATGCTAAAATTATTGCTATTTTATCGTTATATTAAAAAATAAGCCATTATACTAAAAATAAAGGTGCTAATACGTAATAGATCCGATATTGAGAAAAAAAAACAGGAATTAAGGCTTATGGTTGGGTAAGAACAAGATCAGAAGGTTCCGTTCCATTCCGACTATCATTAAAAGGTCAAATTAATTTATTACACTTTAGTGAACGATATCGTGACCTAATCGATGCAGCCGATAGTATAGTTAACATGCGCCATTGTGCCTTATCTATTCAAGAAGAATTACATCACATGCAAGATTCTTGTGATGTTAATGTTCTGAAAAGCACTGTTAGAGCTCAAATAAATGAAGACAAAAAGGGAACAAAAGGTATGGCTTAATAATTTCTTTTATATGATCTTTACAGAAATCTCTTAATATGAAATAACTGTACAGTAACTTTATAGTAATTATATAGTTATTGTTAAATTTAATCATAAATATATAGTTACTATGCAGTTATTGTATTAAGAGATTTAAGTTTCTGCATAGATGTTTTTGAAAATTTAAATTTCTGTTTAATCCTATCAAGATGAAAAGAAGCATCACCTATATTCATCAGCTGCACAAATCAAATTATTGGTGGACGTTCCAGAACAGGTTAATAACAATTTAATTTTGTAATTTAAATTATTATAATATTAATCTATTAATCTTTTATATTTAATATTTTTTATAGATTTGGCGATCTTTAGAAAGCCATAAATATTTAAATGCTAGTCGTTTATACCTTATTGCAAAGTTGGTGTATAAAAATCTTCAAGCTCATAATGAAGATTCACCTTTCAATGTGTCGGTAATAGCATAAAAATATAAATGCTTTAATATCTTTCTCAAATATTTGATTTATCTCGAATATTGGATTTTTTTCAAAATATATATATATAATTTTAGGTGACCTTTCCGGTTGTTCAACGTCAATGGGATGCTGTCAGTCACTTTAAAGCTCAAATTCTTCAAAAAGCCACGCTATATTTAAAAGTTATTGAACAATCTGAGCAGGTTATAATAATTATAATGATTAATGTCCTGCGCTTCTGATAATTTGGCACACTTACATTGTTTATTTTATTTTTTTATTTAAAGAGTCTTGCAGAAACGCTTTGCGCAATAATGTTGCTGGACGATGTGACCAAAAAAGATGTATTTCGTAAATGTCTTGATATGCGAACATCAGCGCTGATACAAATTTTAGAAAAGTCCGAAGCAAAAGACATAAAATCAATGGTGGAACAGTTCAAGGAAATGATTCGTCTTATTCGAGGCACTGTTTATCATGTTGGTTCTGTATTCATTAGTGCAGAGAATGAACAATCATTATTTGAATCATATCTGCATCAACTACAACAAGGATTCACTGTTTATGAAGATTTTGCACAACCATCTCCTGCTTTGGTGTCTCCGCGTGATTCAAAAGCTTCTTTAACCCGTCTATATTCGCCTTCGACAAATATACACTTACTTGTACGTTACCTCCCTGAATCAATTCAAACATTTACTCCCTTTTTACATATGTCTGGTACACGTGGCCAACTTTCACAAGAAGATATTACAACGCGGATGAATTTATGGGTAGACCAAATTGTTGAACAATTCCATGAAAAACTTGATGACTTGTTATCAAAAGTACCTTGTGCAAAAGAGTTGCATGAATTAAGGAAAATAATTTGGGAAATTTTAAAAGAAGATGAATGCGTTAAAGAGGAAAATCAATCTTCGTTTAAAAAGTTTCCAAGTAAAGTTCATAGAACTAGTTTTGGCTTTGAGCTGAACATAAAAAAAACAGCTTTGTCTTGGTATCTTGTAAATATTAAAATTTTTATCCTTAATTGGTTTGTTGTGAGTTTTACTGTTCGGTAACATATATGTTAATGTATTATGTAGACATGCCATCTTGTTTTTCACAAACCTTTTTCTATTTGGAATGATTTGTTAAGGAATGGTTTCAACAAACGATTCAAAGATATTATAATATCTTCGTTTGTTGAATTATCTAACCAACCAGAAAAGTTGCTTAAAAATAGACTGTACAAACTTGAAGATCCCAATAATGAAGGTAAAAATCACGCATAATAATTTATAATTTATAAGAAATATATACTTATGACTATGTTTGATCAAAAATCAGAAAGGCATCTTGGAAATTTTATTTGGGCGCATGGATCTACATTTTTTAATTCAAAGCCTCACGATAATACTGCATCAGTTTTCAAAAATCGAATAGAGCTCCTTGTCTCTGGACAAACATCCTTTGTTAACGATGCTAAAGTGGCTTTTGACAAAATTTTAAAGGATATTAAGAATGATATGGAACCAGTATTTGCTTTATCAGGGAACGGTCGTACTAATGATATATTTCTAGATAAATTTGCGAGTGGTGAATTGTTTAATGCCAATAGGTATTTTTCGTTTGATTCACATAGGATTCCTCAAAAATTCAAATCCGAAGCATACCTAACTAAGCTAGGATCTTGCTCTATTTAGTGATACGGAGGATTTATCCGCATTCTTTCAAGAAACAATTATAAGTTCTGTTACATCTTATCGTAACCAACTTTATAGTTTATTGGAAGAGGTTGATACAAGTGATAAAAATCAAGCTATAGCAGTAAACAATTGTAATGTCATTTCATAATTAATAATTCATAATTCATTTTCATTTCGAATTATTTATTTATGTTATTTGATTTATTTATTTAGCTAAACGATTGCTTATTGGCCGTATTGCATATACGATTGCGTACGAGTCTGCAGAACTGCCTATACTTTTGCAATTGATATTCATCAAGGAGAAAAAAGTAAATCAATTTAATAGTCGCCTTTCATCATCATCATCATTAGGTTTGTTGTAAATTTTAGTGATATGTTGATAAAATTTTAACACTTACACAAGATGTCATATTCATTTGACTTGTACTATATGAAATTTAGATGCACGCCTAGTAAATTTACGCCAGACCTTAATGGATGTTTATTTCCCGGCTCATCAACCATGGATTAAATGGATCACTCATAATGTACAAGATACTATTTATAAAATGTTATCTAATACTCATTGGGATGAAACCAATGTGCAAACATTAGTTTGGGAAGGTAAGCTCTAATAATTTATGAACTTATACAATAATTCTGAACAAGAAACTTAATATTTAAGCGTATTTTTATATATAGAAGTAACTATTCAAGATCCGGTACAGGGTCAAGAAGGTAATAAAATGAAGTTGCCTTCACAACCATCAACCACAATTATGAACTGTTTGTTTAATGTTTGTCAAGAAATCAATCGTGTTGGCAGTCCAACATTACACGAGGTATGCTTTATATTAAAAATTTATTATTGCTGAATTTTAATATGAATACATACTGTTTGACCATATCCTCGAAGGTCAGGTGCGATTACCCTAAAACCCTTG